TTGTTAATAAAACTAATTAGTCGGAGACTTTTGGGCTAATGAAATCAATTATATTGAGATATGAGGGGAAAAAATTAAAAAATTGTAGTTTGAATACAAAAATACGAATTTAAAGCAATATGTAAAGTATTTATGAAACTAACGCAATCAATTGCGCACCATATCAATTTGGACATAACTGATCAAGTTTTAGTGAATTGAATCCAAACTGATCCTAATTAGTTGTGTATCAATTTGCGCACAATCATCAAAGCTTGTCGTATGGCACAAAAAAATTGTCGTCTATACATGTCATGGGGCAAACTATGGTGAGTTATGTCCAAATTGACATGCAACTAAATACGCATTAATTTAAACGTAATTCACTTAAGTTGGCTGCCTAAATTGATACGCAACTAGTTGTGCTTGCAATGGTGCATAATCAATTGCATTAATTTCGTAAATACTTTAAAAACCGTTTTAAATTCATATTTTTTTTATTTAAATTACAATTTTAAAATTTTTCTGCATGAGATATGATCTGCAATCAATTAGAAAACGTGGGTTCAGCTGGCTCATTTTGGGGAGCATGAGCTTCCTTGAAGGTTTTGAGGGTTTAACCATGGTAAGATGGTGGGGCCAAGGTGACACTTGGATCGCGTGTGAGACGTTTCCTTCACTTCTCTTGGCGGAGAACCGGCCCGAAACAGAGGGTGAACGGAACTGCACCTTGACGTGCCAAACACTTTTCGCCACGTGTCATTCTTTAAATGGTTAACCTTTTCTGACTCTGGCACTGTGTGCCACAGGCGAGAGAGCACTCACGGTTGAAAGTTGAAACAAACGGAGCTCCGATATCTCAGCAAAAACATTTATTTATTTACTTTTTTTATTAAAAAGAAAACTGTGTAGGAACTCTAATGAAATAACGGGGTGAGGGGCTGAGGGCCCACAAACAGAACCGGCCTGCACAGAAATTGTGATACTAATGATAACAGGGTAGCCCACGCCGGACCATAAGACTCCACGTATTGAGCCCCAACCAGTATTCCGCTCGTGGGGCCCATCCTCCACTGTGCAAAATAGAACACATTTACAATTACAAGTTACGACCAAGCAGCCGATTGAAAAGGGAATTATAGAGAGGAGACAGTGTATTTGGAGAAGTGTCTCATTCGCATTCCTTAGGGTCGGTTGGTGGGCCCGGCTCGTGGAAGCTTTAGGAACAGATTTAATAATACTAACAATACAAAACAGAATAAAGAATAATTCTTTAGTGTAAAAAATATTGCGGACCAACCAACCAGAGCCCGCGTGCGGTTGCACCAACTGAAAAACAATTATTATTTATCTAAAAACCTTAAAATGATAGAGCTGTTTGTCTTGTCTGTTACTAGTTTATTTGCACTTTTTGGAGACACAAGGGCACCTGCAACTGCAATGGAGATTGTTGATTTCTTCAATCGCTCACTTTTTTCACATATCTAGCAGGAGAAGCCAATACAACGTCCCATTGTGCTAAACTGCTTAATGAACAACCTTGGGAACATTTACTTGTTTATTTATTTTGGACTGATAAGCCAATATATTTATTCTCAACAATAATCAACCTCTGTTTTTGTTTTGAAGAAAAAAAATTAAAAATTTTTCTTTATAAAGAATATAACTTATATCTTTTTATTAATTTATAATTATGTAGTAAGGGCAACACATAATTATAATATTAAAGTTGTACTTTTTCACTTTTCATGTTTGCAAACAATATCTGAAAAGAGAAAAAAAATACAACTTTAATATTATAACTATGTACTACCCTTAGTACAAAATTATAAATTGCTAAAAGGACATAAGTTACATCCTTCAAAAGGATAAATCATTAAAAAAAAACCTTCAATTAAGAATCAAGTAGTTAGATATACAACGGTTTTATATATAAATGGGATCGAAACAATCACAACATATGCATTATGCAATAATAGTTAATATATGATTACAAAGAGCAAAAAAATAGGGTTATTCACTTTTTTCTCTATATATATATATATATATATATATATATATATATATATATATATATATATATATGAGTTTATCATTTCTCAAGCTGCCGGAGATAAATTTATCTCCGACTACTAAATCATAACCGTCTAAAGATGGATCAATGGTGATAAAGGAAGAGAAAGAAAAATGAAATCATAACCATTCAAAGGTGGATCAATTAATAAAAGAAAATAAATAAATAAAACGACGTAGTTTTGGGATGGCCTGAGATAACCTTGTCTCAAGTTGCCGGAGAAATATTTTTTATATATATATACCTTATCTTAGTTACTTGAAAAACCAAGTTGAAAAGAGAATAAAAAAATTAAAGAATTGTTTTAACACTTAATATAAAATAACTTTAATGTAGACGAGCGTAATAGAAGTTTAGTTCACATTTGTGTTTAATTGATGGACCTTCCCCTTTACTATTTGATTTGTTATTTCTAACAATAAATGGTTATATTAATGTAGAATGTATTGTGATCCAGCTAGAAGAGTTGCATGATATATCCCTGTGTTATGATTATAAGTATAACAACTACTATAAATAAATAAAACAAATGTAATCGTGTACACCAAGCTGACTGAACTCAGCTGGCAAATGCTGGGCAATACTGCAAGAGCAAATATATATAGACAAGAATAAGGAAGCTAGAGGTTATGCATTGGGTTCAGGAAAATGTCAGATTTATAGTAGGAGTCTTACATTGCAATCGTAAAAGATTAAATCATCTGAATAAGCCTGTGATATCTAGGTCACATGGTAACAATATTAACATTAATCGTTGTGTCAAGCTCCAAAAATACTTATTTAAATATATACATGGTTTATACATTAAGCTTAGATAAGTTAAGTCATTGATTTTATTTTATTTTGGTAAACAAGTCATTGATTTTAATGCTTACAATAACAGGAGGATGTTTCATCATTGGGTTACTATGTAAAGGAAAAAAAAAATAGAATGATTAATGGTAAGGTTAGTCAAGAATGAATATTTATTTTATAAAATATAAAATGTGTAAATTATTAAGAAGGACCATATAAAAAATATTTAGAAACAAAACCAGTATATCTTATATAATACACAAAAATATTCTTATAAAAAATTGAAAATAATTTCTTATTAAAGAATAATATTTTTTCGGAAGCTCTCTCAAGAAACTGCAAAAAAATCATTATTTCCTCAAAATAAATTAATTCAAACACACACTAGATGCATAAAGTTATGAAGACATTATGAATGATTTTTGCTATTTGAGAAGTGATTAACTGATCTAATTGATTAGTTAATTATTATAAATGATTATTTTGGAGGCAAAGATTATAAATGAAATTTTATATTTGGGAAGTTAAGAAGAAATCTGTAAATGATATTGAACGCATTAATAGTGGTAAATGAAATTCCGTTTAGATCCATTAAGTTAAAAAGAAATTTACAAATGACTTTTTTTTCTAGGTTTTTGTTAAGTGATTTTTATTTTTGGTCAATTGTTAAGTGATTATTTATTCAGTGAGTGGCAAACAATTATAAATAAAAATTTATTGTACGTTAAGATGATGTTTCTAAATAACTATTACTTGTTGTTTAATGGTTATTTATTTATTTATTTTGGTTGAAAAATGGTTATTTTTATGGTGGAAATGGTTGTTTTTTTATTGAGTATTTAACAGCAGTAAGTGAAATTCTATGTTAAAGTCATAAATTAAAATGAAATTCATGAATGAATAATGTTTATTATTAAGTGATCATTTTCTCTCACTAGATAGTTAGCAATAGTAAACAAAATTATTTTTGTAAAAATACATGAAGTTATAAAGAAATTTATGAATGACTATTTTTTATTACTGTGTAATTAATTATTAATTCCGGATAATTGAGTTTTATTTTCTTTAATATTATTTTTGTATAATTAATTATTAATTTATTTTTATTCATTAAATGAAATATAATGATTTTATTCTCTAAACAAATTTTTGATTTGAACATTTTATTTTTTTTAAATATAAATATTTCTCAATCGTCTTTATCTTGGATATCATCATCTAAAATTTTATTAGTTCATGTATTTTAATATTTGGTTGATTGTTTATAATATACATACATAAAAATACGTGAGATTTATATTTTTTTTACATAGTTTCACACATATTTTTATATTTTTACAGGAGATAAAATTTATCTTTTACGACATTTTATATATTTATTTCTAAAATAATGCCCATTCGTGCTCAGCTTTTGATGACTTGATCTATGTTACATCCTCTCTTTCTCCGGCGCGGGCCACCTCAAACGTTAACACCACATCATTCTTTTCTCGTCACCATCAGTGGCTGGTGGGTGGAGTCTCTCTCTCTTTCTCTCTCTCTCGCCGTTTTAGCGCCACCTTTTTATGAACTCAAAGCTTTTCTTGCAATCTAGCTCCAACTCAATAGATAAGGAGAGAGAAACTTTTGAGAGTGATGGTTTATTGGGTTACTCAATTTAACGTGTTTCTTCTTCTTCTTCTTATGCTTTTGCTTACTATTTAACCCTACCTCATCTCCATTTTTCCATTCCTGAACCTTTCTTTTTCTTTTTCCTTTTCCTTCACTTTCCCCTTTTCTCTTTCTCAGTAATCCTCGGGATCTCATCTGACCTCTCTCTTTTTGTAGACAACAACTCTTACACAGTTCCTGATCAGTGCAAAGCAGTTTCCACAACGAGGTGATTCAGTTCAATTCCCGAGGATCATTATTAATTATTCTTTTCACTTTCTTTTCTTGTTCCCCGTGTCAGCTTGTGTTTCCTTCCCTTTCTTTTAGTGCTCTTTTTTTCTTTTTTCTTTTTGGTTGGATTTGAGATATTCTTATAAAAGTTTCTTCTTCTTTTTTTTAGCATATATATTGATCCTGTGAATTTGTGCTGCAAAAGAAGTTGGTTTCATCAGATCTACACAGGAAATCTACAGTTTTTTGTTATCTTCTAAGGAGAGCAATATCAAGGTTCTTCTTTCACCATCACCTTTTAAAATTGTTCTTAATCTTATGCTTTGAATTTCTTGTATCATATGGGATTTGGGTTCCTCATTCAATTCCTTCAGCATATTATTATGTGAGTGCATGAAAATGGTGGTTGATTTTATATGGTTCAAGTCAACTAGCATATATAAGTCCAAAAATAAAAAGAGAGAGACAACTAAAAGACAGAAACCATAGTCAAATGCTAAATGTCAATTACATGAAATCTTTGACATGACTTTGATCTCTGTGTTTCGGTTGGAGTTTGTATCCCATCGACACCTAAATCATGCTTTCACTTGTTCCCCTCTTTCTTTCTTCCTTTTTGGTTTTACACGCGACACTATTAATCTCTTTGCATATAAATGAACAGAAATGTTCTTTTTCTGCATGTGATGATATTTCCCCCCCAAATCGCTTTATTGTACAAATAATCAGCTTCTAAATCATTTTGACTTCAGTACTTGTGCTGTAAACCATTACGAATTAGACTCAGTTTGAGTGCTCTACCAACCCTATAGACTATATATTTGATTCTATATCCTACAAGATTTCTTGCCTCTGCATCATTGCATGGTAAAAAAGTGTGCCTTGATTGCCTTCTCTTTTGTGATTTACAACTCAGTTTAGTTTGTCTTTTTTAGGGTAAAAGAGACTCTATATTAAACTTGTACTTTTACCTTTTTTTATTTTTTTATTACGTTTTTATCATAGTTTTACTTAATCATTACAATTGATTTTATGTTTATAAATATAGACATCCAAACATAATTACATGTGAGTTCTCAATTATTTATTAGTTGTTGGTTTTATAAAAATGTGTAAGAATTTATAAAATATAATTAATGATCAATAAATATTTTATAACTTGATTAAGAATTAAAAAAAGTATGCAAGTATCAAAATTAACAATCCCAGTCTTTGTCGGATATCTTAACCAGACACTAATTAATATGTTTTTCTAATCCTTTCTTTCTTGTCTTACTCAGTTACTCTAACCAGTTGAACTTAGAACATTCATTCAGCACTATCATTGTTCAATTTTCACCTTTATATATAGTTATGCTCACCAAACACAACTCATGTTATGTCACGACGATTAGAAGCAAATAATGGTTTTGGATCATTTTATGTTCTCCTTTTATTGGTCATGTACTCCAGTAAATAATCAATGTGGAATATATTCCTACTCGGTTGCAATTTTTCTTCAAATATTATTTTAAGATTTAGAGCATGCATACATTGAAGGTATAAAACCCAACATACATAACTTGTAACATATATTATCAATTTTGGGGTGGCAGTGAATCTTCTAATTTATGTCGTAGCCACAATATATACAAGAGAAAAAAAGATGCCAAATACTAATAAAGGTAAAATCGTCTTATATGTTCTTTTTGTTTTTGTTGTTTGATTTATTTATTTTTCCAAATGCAGGTTTCAAATCTAGAGCAGATATGAACACTTTTTCACATGTTCCTCCTGGCTTTCGTTTCCATCCCACTGATGAAGAACTTGTTGATTACTACCTTAGGAAAAAGATAGCTTCTAAAAGGATTGATCTAGATGTGATAAAAGATGTCGATCTCTATAAAATTGAGCCATGGGATCTTCAAGGTATCAGCCTCTTATAAGGTTGCAATTATATAGATAAGCTCAAATAAAATTATACTTTAAAGAATTATCCTACTATTCCTCACATTTGTTACTTGTGTTGACAGAATTATGCAAAATAGGAACTGATGAACAAAATGAATGGTATTTCTTTAGTCATAAAGATAAGAAGTACCCAACTGGCACTCGCACCAATAGAGCAACAAAGGCAGGATTCTGGAAAGCTACAGGAAGGGACAAAGCAATTTACTCTAAGCATTGCCTTATTGGCATGCGAAAGACACTGGTGTTTTACCAAGGAAGAGCCCCCAATGGACAGAAATCTGACTGGATCATGCATGAGTACCGGCTCGAAACCAATGAAAACGGAACTACTCAGGTAATTACTACCAGATTACCTTTCATTTTTAAAAAAAACTTCCCTCTTTTTTTTTCTTCTTCTCGTTTTCAGATCTTTCATCTACGATGAAAGATCTGAAAACCCTAAACTCTAATAACAAACTTTTATGACTTGCGAGGGTAGGGATTAGATCAATCGTATACTGTCTTATCTTTATAATTTTCTGCAAAAAAACTTTTTATCAGATTCAAACCAGAGACGTTCCGGTTACAAGAAGCAACCTCACCGTTGTTTCGAGCAATTAGTGTAACACCCTCTCTTGTATGCATCCAAGAGAGTTGTTTGCTAAGCGGATTAGAGTTCTTTAATCATATTTTAGAGACTGAAAATCACTTTTACAATGCTAATTAAAAACTTACAATTGAAATCGGGTTCGTCACAAAAATCAGAGTATACTTTCAAAATTTCTCAACTACCGAAAATATAACTTTCCTAGCAGACCTTGCTGTCTTTAAAAATTCGTATAAAATTCACTTCAACGATTCAAAGAAATATTCTTTTTAATCTAGAAACTAGACATTCGGGGCTTCGCGTTCATATAAAATAATAGTAATTTGAAGGTCGTTTGCCCCTCAAAACATAACTCGTAAGGCGAGAGTTAAAATCAGTGAATTTATATCAATAAGTTTCGCCTTCAATGAGGCACACTGGTACTAAAATTTGAAAATAAAACTGGTAACAAACGTATATAATGGGGGGCAAATTTTCTTTGGAAATGAAAATTACTTTACCTGAGCAATAGAAACTTTGGTTGAAGCACACAAGATTTGCAGACTTTTGTGTACCATGCTAATAATTAATTTGTATCAATATTTATTTTTACCACCCTCATAATTTGATTTATGAGAGCCTTTACCAAAGTTTTTCATTCTAGCATTGTTTTATATGTTGAGTACATAATTCAAGAAGAGCACTATTACACAAATAATCTTTTTCATATATAATTATTAGAGTCTAATTTCTGTAACTGCTTTTCAGGAAGAAGGGTGGGTTGTATGTAGAGCTTTCAAGAAAAGAATGACAACAATGCGGAAAGTGGGGGACTATGAATCACCCTGTTGGTATGATGACCAAGTCATATTCATGCAAGAGCTTGAATCCCCAAGGCGAATTTCTCACCCTAATTATGCATCGTACCACCAACACTACCCCTGCAAGCAGGAGTTGGAATTGCAATACAATATACCCAATGACGCTTTCCTCCAACTTCCACAACTTGAAAGCCCTAAATTTCCTCAATCTGCAACCAGTTTAAGTTGCAGCCCAGTTGTCCCTTACGGCTTTGATAGCAATAACAATGGAAGTGCTTTGCAGTCGTCATCACTCACTCAAGAAGAACGCATACAGCGTTGCCAGCAACAAAATCTGCAATTGCTTTATGGTAGCAATGATCAAGCAGTAGAACTAGTGACGGATTGGCGAGTGCTTGACAAATTTGTTGCTTCTCAGCTCAGTCACGATCAAGAAGTTTCCAAGGAAGCCAGTTATTCCAATGTGGCTGAACAAAGTACTATGCTTGCAAATGAATCCAAAAACCCAGAAAACGGCAAGGAATATGCTTCAACATCAACATCCAGTTGCCAGATTGACCTGTGGAAGTGAAATTTTATAACCAGAAGATGCATACTAATTATAGAGGGTAAAGTTTAACGCTGCAAAAAAGACCAAAAAAAAAAGTATTGGTTCGGTTTCTGTACATAATAAACCAAGAAGTATTGAATGTGCTTAGCAGTTGAACCTCTGGTATCCATTAATGCTTCACAAAGGATAAGATGCTACAAATACGCCTATAGCAAATATATTACATATTACTTCAAGGTGAACAGTCTGGGACGAGCTCTGTGAGTGTAGTGGTTTCATCATTACAAAATTTGCACTTGAAATTAAAGTTACATATACACACATGTATTTAATTAATTGTACTTGAAAACCATAGTTGATTCTACCTGTACTAGGAAGTGAAATATGGAATGTAAAGGTTTGAGAATCTAAACCAAGCATATGCACTTGAACAAGAATATATGTACATTTTTCTTGCCCATTGTTTATGTGTCATAATTTTCGTACGTTGATTCTAGGAAAATTTCAAATTGTCTGTAGCATATGGCTCGTTTTTGCTAGTGTGAAATTTTGCTTCAGTACTCTTACAAGCAAAATGAGGGAGAAAGTGATGAGGCTCTTTTAGCAAATGTTTAGCCACTTGTGAATAGAAGCATTTATCCCAGAAAAATTTCTTATTTAATTTGTTTAGGATGACATAGTCGGTGGAATGTCTCAAGTCATTAACAAGAATATCACAAAAGAATCCTCATGGCTGTTATATGGCATAAATGCTTTCCAAGATGAGTTTTATTGTCATTGAGGAATTTTCTGTTTTGGATGCAATGAAGTTTTATTTTTGGGTAAAAATAAAATAGCTATTTTAACCACCAAAAAATAAAATAAAATATCTATTTTAAATAGATAGGATTAGGGATAAAGTCTTAATTTCTAAATATGAAGCCACAGCACAGACCAAAGGAACATCCAAATAGTGTACCTGTTGATGCCAGTAACCTAGTAAGAGTTCGCGCTGCTAAACTTAATGTGCCATATTTAAAAGCAATGCAACAGTGATGGCTAAAATATACCTGTAAGCGGTTCGGGTAGCCAAGAGCAACCCAATGAATTGCACATGTACAAGGAAACTACTCACTATACCAAACTGCTTTGGCATACATTTTAACTTAATAGTGCATAAGGCTAATTTATCAAGATCTCTGGAAGGATACTGAAGCTCTTGAATGTCAGTTGCATGGATCGATAGGGATACGAGTACCTATATAGGTATTAACTGATAGAGGGACGAGATACTACAGAGTTTCTAAAAAACTAGTACAGCATAATTTATCATATACAACTATAAAATCATAAATGATAAAATAATTAAATCATAAGAAATATTTTAAAATGCACAAGTTTTGAATAGAGTAAAATTTAAATTTATTTTACTTAATAATAAAATATTAACATAATAAAGTAAACCAATTAGTATCAAAATTTGATATTTTATATGATTGGCTTATACTTAATTTATAAATGAATATTTAGGACTTGCCAATTACCAATTACCAATCTGTATTCAACAACCATCAGTACTTGTATCGATACAGATACGGTTTATGAGTGCTGATACATTATATATATATATATATATAGAAGCTGTTTCATATCAAACTAAGGGGAAAGATCCGTTTACAAACAATTTAAAAGAGTTTGTAAACAAAAAGTTTGTAAATATAACTCTTCCCTCGAACTAATTCAATAATTAAGAGACATTCCAATTTTCCATTTTCACAACGCATACCTGTGTGTGAAGATGGCTTCTCCGGTTGAAATTGAGATTCCTCTATTAACCAGAGGCATATCTTCTCGGTGGTTCAGCAGTTGCCAGAGCTAACTCAGAGGGTGCGCGGTCACACAGGGACTAAATAGAGCCATGTGTTCGAAAGTGCCACCCACCGGACCGAAGTGTGTTTTCAAAAGTGATGGTTTAAATACATGTTGCAAAGCAAATCTAAGCACCTAATCATGCATGCTATTCAAGGGCAAACAAGTGGTTGTTTGTGTAGAGCTAGGGCCTAGGTGTCATTCAATATCGACGACGAATGAAATTCTTGTGTCTGAGTCAAGAAACAAAATTCCTTTCAAGCAATGGCACGACACAATGATTAGGCGTGCGCCCATCAACTTAATCATAATGCAGGTTTCAACTCTAGTCAGAGTCATGACTTGCACAGGTGTGAGAGTGTTTGGCATGCTTGCAAGAAGATTTCTCAAGAAAGTGTGTTTTTCTTACCTTTGACATGGAGCAGTACTCTATCACAGTAGGGTTTTTATTTTTTGTTAACATAATAGTGCTTCACTTGTCTTCTTAGGCATGATAAAGAAGAGAGAGATATTGACCTGTGTTCGCCTTACAAAGCCAATAAACAAGCATGCCATGTGCAGTGGTGTGATTAATAATGGGGTTCATTAAAAGTTTTCTTTACATGCTAAGGTTGCATTATTGACGACCATGTGAATGTGATAAAGTTCCATGTGATGATGCAATAAGCTTGCTTAATTAGTTCCCTAAATGCCAAACCTCCACAGTTCCCGGAGTCACAAAGTCTGCTCTTTGTATTTCTTATCCAAAAACTAAAAAAGGAAAAAGAAAAGTAAACTTTTTATTCCGAGTTAGGTTAATGACAAAATTGTTAATCTTATCCGCTTTTTTATTTCCGGGATTCTTCATTTGGGGGTACTTTGTTATTAATATACATGAAGCAGGAGTAACATAGTTGTTAAAATTTCGATTTATCAGTACGATTTTATGTTTTTATGATTTTTTTTAATCAAAATAAATTATTAATATTTTAAACACTTTTACGTTTTATGATTTTTTACATTATAATTTTACGTTTTATAATTTTTTAATTCTTTTCTGATTTTATTTAAAATCTCGATTTTAACAACATTGAGACGAAGAGCAATAGCAATTTTTCTTTTTATACCGGTACAATATATCGATATGTAGATCACACATGAAGTAACAAAATGTAGAGAGAGTAAACATGATTTTGGAATTACTGTAATGCCACGATACAGGGTTAAATTGAGCAAATTCTTTCAATTGGATGAGAAATTAACGGAACAAACTATGCCTCCATCCTTCGAAGTGTAACACGAAAACCATGAGCAGTGAGCTGTAACGCTTTAGGGGCACATTCCCTGGATGAAATGTTGGGGAAACAACCATAAAGGGGGAGAGACAATTCTTCGTTTATTATTATTGATGTTTCATTCTTTTTTGTTTGTTTAAGAATCCACTAATTTGAAAAGAAAATCATAAATAGAATGCCAAGAAACTCTTCCCTCGGGAAAGGCGGAAGAAAAATAACAAAGCACAAGTAAATAACAAGTAACTTGATTGAAGCCATTAGAATTAGTCTAATGTAGAATTTAGATAGTTTGTAATAGGTTGTGTTAAATTTCCTATAAAAAAACAAGAAACATGATTGATTTCTTAAGTTGCTAAGTTCAGATCTTGGGTCGCGAGTAGGGACCGGGTCTCCCCCACTAGTATGTGGGCTCTAATTGGATTTTTCAATTTTAGCAGAAGTTACTTTCTCAGTAAGTTGACCTTGGCTTCTGAGGCCTATCTTATCATTGCATAAAACCATATAGGAGTAGGATAACTTTATGCATACACTTCTTTTGATTTCTTTTAATCAAGTGATTATAATTTGTTAATTCTGAATTCCTAAAGTTTTTTATATCATTTGCAATAACAAAGCAAAATATTTTATATGAAATTACTTATAAACTAATAACTATGTATTAATTTTCGTCTTGTTTTAATTATTGTTTACAAGAACTTATTCTACAGAGAATGTAATTGATCTCAATGGAAACTTACCACTAGAGGTTTGTCTAGTTGAATATACTGAGCAAAGTTTCTAATTTTTTTTTTTTATTTTTATTTTTTTTTGGTTTCCATATACAGAAATCAGTGCGAATAATGCATGAATTCTTCCAGCACGCACTATCATATGACTTATTTTTTCCTTTGCTAATTGCACTACAAGGGAATATCTGAGCAAGGTTGTTCATAATGCAGCTACCTTGTGCTAAGCATAAATATGGTCTGGCTCACACAAATATATGCTCCTATTATCTTCATCCTAGTAGCTCTCATAGAAGAAGGAAAGAAAGAAGTCTAGAAAACCTTCTGCTAAATATGTTTTATCATCAACTAAATTTGGCTACATGTTCTATCTGGATGCATGCCCATTGCCAATGCTCCAGTATGGGAGATGCAAGGCAAAATTATTCCTATTTTGTATAATTGCAATGCTCACATGCATTGTGAACCTTATCTTATTTGGAATCTTCAGAGTGTTTTTTTTTTTAAAAAAAAAAAATAACAAATAAAAATAAAATTAAATCTTGCTTCCAAGAATGCCTTTAGTACCGTTAGGTCTTTTCATGAAAACAATGGATACATATGGTCCAAAAATTCTACAGTAATATACCAGAAGAATGCAAGCCTATGCAGTTTTCTAGTTAATCTTATAAACAATTCAATCATCTGTAGAGCAAACTGTATAGTGCAAGCTAACCTAGATTATTTAGGCAAAAGCCAGGTTCAAGCGCTGAAAGATGTGGAGGTACTCTGACCAATGATTATAGAAAGTTAACGAATTTCTGTTTATATTATGTTTCATTTTCGAGATCATATTCATCGGGCAGATTGAGATTAGGTAGAGGAATTAAATATCATATATGATATGCAAAAAAGCATCTATTTCAACTAGAATTCCAATTGCAGAATTCGATCTCCAAGGGATATTAGCATCTAAAGAGAAACTCGTCATTTTATATCCTTCAGCATACATAAGATAAATTTAAGCAAGAAATAGAACTTCAAGTTGCATGAAAGTACTATGTCATATGGATGGGAAATCGAGACCAACAGGTAGGATAATTATATATATATCCAGCAAATTAGGAAGTAGATATTACATGGAGAAAGATGTTTGCACAAAATAGGTTCTGACTTTCTACAGAGACCGAGATCCCAACATAGAACATATAGGGTAGTTCAAGAAAGGGCTTCATCTGTTCAATGCCTATATGCTCTCAGAAGTCCAAAAGGAAAACAAATGCCTCATTTGTAGTCTCTGGTATATTTACACAAATATGGTCTGTTGTAGCAGGGATTACAACAACTATTTTGCATCGCAAAGGCCTGTTTTTTCATCACAGAAACCATCTCTGTCAAGCAGTTTTTGTGGTGGAGCACTTAACAGGGGAGATGATGGAGAGCCATAAGCATTTCGTCGTTTGTTCCCACAACCTAAGCTTGCTCTTGTGCTCACTCCAGTTACAGGATTTGTGCCACTAGCATACTTGCATAAAGCCTACATAATTTAATCAAATAGTCATATCAGTCACACGTTGGGTAAATTGTACTCCGAGAAAGTATTTCAACCACACGGATACGTATTCTAAGCAGGAATGGATCCTCATGTAAAGGTTAAGGGAAGAGAGATAAACAGAAAGAGCCAAAGACACTAAATAAGCTCCAACTTAGAACCTGTCAAAATTTGTGGACCTCCACTACATAGGTCTAAGTATACATATTTTTTTACCTGATCATCCTATCAGGTGAATGAGGGGCAAAAAGGTTTCTTGTTCTTATTACAAGACTGTGATTGGATCCTCCTATGTTTGATAAAAATAATCATATTCTCCTTCGAAAATAAATCAGAAAAAGGAAATTATTCATTTGAATTAAGAACAACCGACTAAATTGGTCCTAGTTACTGAATGAGTAGAAGAAGGGGGAGATCCTTGAAGGAAGAAAAGGATCCAATCACTTTGAATGAATTAAATGAGGATCCTATCATGCCAAAACTCACATAAAAAATCCATTACCATTATAATTAATGGTATAATGGCCATACCTGCTTTTGGTAAAGGTCCAACACAGCATCACTAAAGTCGGCACCTTCGATGACGGCACCTCCAAGGTCACTCCGGGTGAGGACTGTTCTCAGGAGAATGGCATTCGTGAGATTGGCTTCATTAAGAACCTGTAGACCCCAAACAAGAAAATCATATAAGCCAAATAAAAGGAAAAAAATATATATAAAATTAATCAAATCAATGCAGTTACCATGCGATCCATCAGTGTATCACTAAAATCAGCACCTGAAAAATGTCAAATGGAAATATTTGAGGAAACTACAATCATTGACTTTTGCAATTTACATACAAGAAGAAACACAGGAAAGTGTCTGCAAAGAAACTGTGGAGTTGCAAGAGAACAATAAAGCAAATACTTCTCCTAGGTTCATGAAATTTATATAGATAACCATTTTAATTTCATAAAACACATCAGTTTTTTTTTTTTTTTTTTTTTTTTAATTACATTAGTTCTTTATGCCTTTTGCAGGACTTGATTTCATATGTTTTAATTTACTTTTATCATGACTTACAAGGGGAAAAAATTGATCTGTCTGGATGATTAGTCAAATGTGGGTCTAACAGAATATATTAGAAGAACGTATTACACTTTTTCTTATCTAAAGCAATGTTACTTTGGATTTTATTCAAATATATTGTGAAGACATTACATCCTTCCCTATACTTTGTGTAGAGAGGAGAGTTTCATACGTTGCCTCTTACTTTTTATATTTTGAAGACATTAGCTACCTTAGAATTCTATACATATAGAACTTTCAATAAGCTTATACCTGTAAAATTTGCCTTGTAAGCAACTGCTTTCTCAAGATATGCACCATTGAAAGTTGAACCGCTAAAATCAGATTCTCTCATATCAGCAGCTGTGAAATTGGCTCTTCTGTATCAGTAATTTAGAATGATCATGATGAATAGACGACACTAAATTTCTACACTAATTAGATTTCAAATAATTAGCTAGGAAGTGACAACTCAGAATAAATTGAAGCAGCAATTTCCTACAATGCTCAATTCCTCATATGTATATTTAAAAAAAATAAAAATAGTATTGTATACAAAAAAAAAGTAAAAAAAAATAGTGAACTGTATTAAATTGTTACAAATAAATTTATATGTCCACTGTTTGGAACAAGGTGGCTCACTTTCCTCCTATGGTTATGTGCTTTTAATTGACAATACATATTTTTTTTACTGCTTCTGTTTTGCCCGTCAAGTAGTGCCTCCAACACATCCCAGCAAAGCCATTGGTAATTCAGCGCCCAAATGAAACATCAATGTGAGGGACCAATGGATTGCGGAAAGCATAACAAAACAGAGTGATCTTCAATTTGGAAATTGCACTGGTGAAATAGTTTTTCTATTTGTTTTCACACAAGAAAAAGTTGAGCAAAATACAAAAACTGTGGTGTAGAGCAAATGCTTAGTTTCTACCTGGTATAACCAAAATTGGAACAATAACAAAGGAACATTGTTCAAAGTTTGGAATGGACACCACAACCTCATTCAACATTTGTTCGGTACAAAATAAAAGTTATTGTTATTGGTTAATAATAATAAAACGTACCTACTTTTAACTTCAAACCAGTCTACTAAGTATGAGAGAAAATAGAACATTTCCAGACTGATTCTCCACTATATATCTATCATCTTAGTATACTCTTAGATTTTACTTTCCTCCTTCTTCTTTTTTTGATATAATTCTAATAAAGTTAAAAGGAATGAGAATAATAATATTGCATATCTAACTTCAAATAAAACAGGGCCCAATTGAGACATTACCTGAAATTTTCATTCACATGCACTGCTTTCCTGCATTATATTAAAACAAAAAAAATAAGCGAGCCCAATTTTGTTTTTCTTTCCCATAATCCCAAAGAAACCACAATTATAACATTCAATGTAAGAATGGACCAACCTGAGGTCAGCAGAACCAAATTGGGCAGCGGATCCTATCCCAAATTCACCCCTCAATTCAGCTTCATATTTGTTAAGATCAGCAAGGGCAGACATGTCAGAGCTCAAGGCAATAACCGCAGCTGCCAACGTTGTCGAAATCAGTTTTCCCCATTTCTTGGATTCTGCATTGACATATGGCAACCCAACCTCTGTCATTTTAATACAACGCTCTTTCTTTCTTCAATGAAAGATAATATGATAGAATAAAAGAAAGAAAAACAGGTACACTCACCTTGAGGGTGATATTTGTTTGAGTTCATTTGGCAGACAACGGGAAAAGGCTTTGGTTGAAAATTCAGCATATTTGAAATCTTGGAAGATGGGTGGAGAGGATTAATTGAAAGTAGTGACGATGAATTAAGTGCCATCATAAGGAAGATATTGAGCAGCTGGATTGGATATGATTGTCTGCCACTAAATGAGGAAGGAGAATCAAGTTCGAGCGAGCTTGCAGTTCAGCAATTCATCATCGAAGTGGAGGAGGGGACTGGTGGCAAAGAGTAGTACACGTGTTTTTGTGTTATCTGGTTTATGTGCATCGCCACATCTCAAAGTTTTTGTACTGGGGTCCAAAACTACAAATACGAATATATACCAGGCTTTAACGTTTCTATAATCAATTAGATAAGTTATTTATATTTATTTTTAAAATAACATTTTTCTGAGTTAAAAAATTAAAATGAAAATACTATTATAACCTTAAATAAATTATTATTACAAAAATATCTTGATTTTTGTTCCAAAACAATATCGTTTTGTGCTCAATGTAAATAACTTATCTACATTGACTGTAGAAAAAACAAACCTTATATATTAAGCTCTAATGTTTGTGAATACACACATAAAGGTTCCGTATAATTTTAGGGAAATTATACTCTTATATTACATATGATTCATATCTCATGTTACATTCACATAAAAAGATGCGTCTTTTTTTTTTTTTTTTAATTGGTGAGCCCTAGTTAATTTATCTCACAACATAAGATAATTTCTCTCCTACAACATGAGAAAAGTAAAGCCCATATTTTTATAGGGAAAAAGAAGTATCATTTAAAAGGACACAACTTGTGTCTTTTTAGATAAGTTACACAAAGTATGACCGGTCATACTTTGGGTGTGCATGACAACCTTCCCAGAATCAATTCTTTTTTAATTTCTGTTCCCGGGAACAGAAATGGATAGGAAACTCGTTTGGTAAAATCGGTTTATATTTTTGTTCCCGGGATGAACCAGTTTAATTTTTGTGCTCGAGAACAGAAAAAAGAATAAAAAAATTTCTATTTTTTTGTTCACAGACACAAAATGAGAAACACTTATTTCTCACAATTACTCTTCACCACTATCATCATCATCACCACCATCATCATCCCGACATGACCACCGCCACCATTGTCGCCACCACCGTTGTACCACCAATGTCATCGTCATAACCACCACCACCACGATGCCGCCGTCACCACCACCACCAACACGATGTCATCGCCACCATCTCCACCATGTCACCGTCATCACCACCATTACCACCGCTGCCACCACTACCATCGCCGCAGCCACTGCCGTCACCACTACCACCACGCCACCACCACCGCCACCGCCATCACCACCGCCACCACGACCACCATTACCACCATCATTGTCATAGCCACTGCCATCACCACCACCCCCATGCCCATCACCACATCATTGCCTCTGCCACCACGCCACCGTCACCAACCACCACCACCATCGCTACAGCCATTGTCGTCACCACCACCACCACGCCACAACCATCGCCACCGCCACCACTACCACCACCACCACCATTTTACCACCATCATTGCCACAACCATTGCCATCACCACCACCCCCACCACCATTACCGTCACCACGTCATCGCCACTGCCACACCGTCACCAACCGTACCACCACCATCGCAGTCACTGCCGTCACCGCGACCACCATGTCATCACCAACACCACCATGCCACCATTACCACGCCACCAACCGCCGTCGCCGCCGCCACTACCACCACCACCATTACCACCACCACCGCTGCAGTCACTGCCGTTAGTACCACCTCTGCCACCACCGCCACCATATGAAAAGGAAAGTGATGATCCAAAAAAATTATGCTTGATAGGAATTATTTTTTATTATATCATTTATTATGTTATCAAACGCAATTCTCATTCTCAGAATAAAAATATAATATGTTATCAAATACATTTTTTTCTCAGAAACTGTTCTAAGGCACAGAAATATAAATGAATTGTTTCTTTTCAGAAACAATGCCAGGAAACAGAATAGTTGTCATGCACACCCTTTGTGTAAATCTGAAAAATTGCTTTTTTTCTCTCCCCGTCACATCGCTTATGGGTAAAGTGAAAAAAAAGAAGTAATTTTTCAAATTTACACAAAGTATGACCAGCCATACTTTATGCAAGTCACTAAAAACACACAATTTATGTTCTTTTAAATGACACACACTAAGCCCATTTTTATATATGCAAAAAAATAAAATTATTTCCTAGCATACAAAAAAATATCAAACCCATATATTTAAGCGCTATTAGTATTTACCTTTCTATGTTCAATTATACTTGACTCTTTTCTTTTAACTTTTTAAAGTAATTATAGTAAAAAAAAAATATTTATCGTTTTAAATAATATAATTTTATATTTTTAAGTGAAATAATTATATTTTTATGATTTTTTATTTTTTCCTTCTCCAAAATACTATCTCTTTCTCTTTTCTCTTAATTTTGTGGAAGAGAAAAATATAAAATATAATCAAATATATATCAAAATAAAATCATTTTACTTAAAATGATACAAAATTATATCATTTAAAAGTTGCAGATTGGCTAGCTACCATGTTATGGAAGGAAGTTGGGAGACCCAATTTTTTGATACACCTCCCTTCGAATGCAGCAGCCTTGTAGCTCGCGACTCAATGGGCATTGCCATGCCTAGACTAGTTAGGATCTAGTTTTCCTTTTCTCTTTATGTCTTTATTTTTCATTGTTAGTCAAAAAAAAAAACAAATATTTTTTCTATAAAATATTATCTTTTCAATTGCTTTTTCTATTAAATTTTTTGGTATAACTTTGTTTATCATGATTTGACAATCATCGTTGATTGTAACTTGTAACAATCTTTGTAAGATTTCAATTCTGACATTATTTTGAGTGAAAATTTTCTTATATTATCATTTATTTTTATGTTAATATTAATTATATAATATATTACATTTATTAAATGAAATGATAAAATATATGTATAAAGATCTATACATTACTACTAAAAAAAATAGTTATTTTAATTTAAAATTTAATTCAAGTTAAACCTGTATAGATACTCTATAGTCTATAGTCTACAGTGTTTCTGTTCAAAAAATTTGTCTCAAAAAATTATAACGGGAATGCGGGAAAGGCACACAATAACTAAAAGATCAGAAAGCCCATTTTTACGTGGACCGATGAATACAGAATCTAGTAAACAGCAGCTTTTGCATTTAAGTTCCGTGGCATCACAACTTTCAGACTACTGATTCCGGAATGCGAGGAACACCTACAAATGAACAACGTTTATGAGCCCATTGGCCTATTTTCTCAATAAGGAACTCTTCCAGGGAGGGAGAGGGCTAGTTTGAGCATGTGAACTTGGCAGCGGTTTTAGACCCTCACAAAAGTCCCATTTGGTTTATTTATTGTGTGAATTTTGCCAGTTTTGAAACTTCATTTAGGGGACGTTTGGTTGATGAGAAATTTTTTGAATACTAGGAAAATAGTTAAAAAGTGAGATAGGTAGGAAAATGTAAAAATAAGTTGTTTGGTGGAGAAAAACTTTACTGGAAAAATTAGATAACTTTTATGAAATCTATGTTTGGTTGAAGGTAAAATATAGATGGGAAAACAAGTTGGTATTACGAAAATAACCCTGATTTTAAATTTTTTTTTACTGTATGTTTGGTATTACAAAATCTCAAACATACGAAAATCTATGTTTGAGATTTTGTCTTTTTGAGGCCTCTTTTTGCTCTTTGCAATTTTAGTTTTCAAGATATTGTTCATATTTTAACAGTGCACAGCATAAACAAGAAGCATCCAATTCCAGAGTTAAATTCGCCAAAACAATACAATTGAATCCAAAGACTTCAAAGTTAGAATGCTCCAATGACGGAGTCTGCCACCCAAGAAGTCGTGCTACAAGTCTCCTGTGTCTATTTCTGTTGCAAAAAGGATAAGAAGAGAGCAAGAACCGAGGATGCTTTGGCAAGAGAGGTAACTGTTGCTGCAAGTTTCCTTTTTTGAGGGGGTATAATGGTCTCTAACAATTTCTCTACACAGTCATTTAGCTAGTTTTCACACAAAAACCACCTCCAACAAATCTTTCTCAACATTGACAAAACCTATCATTCCACCAGCAAATGGAAAAAGCAATGCAAATAGGATAGCTGGTATTTAGATTGAATCTATTCAACCAAACAAGTCATTTCTGGATTCCTTCCTTCATTTGCATAGAAAACTTTGAAAACCCTCTCAACCAAACACCACCTTAGTTCAACTTAATAAATCCTTCTTCATATGTACCTTCCCCTGTTTTCTTTTTACGTGGAGGAGAATGTATTCAGTTGCCATCCTAATACACATTCATTTATTACGTCTAAATTTTCAACATTTGTATTTTTTTTAATTCTGTGTTTAGCAATGTTTTCAATTACGAAATATTAAGATCAAGAGTAAACACCCTTTTTAGTCCCTGGCAATATCTACGAAGTCCTTTTCAGTCCCTGGCAATAAAAAATGACTAAATTGGTCCCTGAAAGTACAAGAAAATGGCCACTCTACATATTTGGGAGTTGACATAAGGACTAACATGACTTTTTTTTGTAATTTCAGGGACCAATTTGGTCCTTTTTTATTGTCAGGGACTAAAAAGGACTTCGTAGATATTGACAAGAACTAAAAAGGGTGTTTACTCTAAGATCAAATGTATCCAAGTACGCTTTCTCATAAAAGTAAAACTTATCCATGTTATGACCATATATTGATGTCAATATTACAATCAAATACAACTAATATTAAATGTCTCATACCCAATTCACATCCAAACAAAACTAATACATACCAGAATGCCTTCACTTTCAACGTAAATATCTCATTGTTCAGTTAATTATTTTGGTTATCTCTTGTATATAGAAACTCATCATCATGAGTTGATCAATCAATTCAGTTCATTCTTCAACTTAGTCGTTTCTGTTCTTCTTCTACTTCTCTGCTCCCAGTTTCAAGTTTGCTGATAAAGTGAAATTTGAAGACTCAAGCAAATGAGCAAAACTGACATATAAGTATTGTTGATTATTAATAATGTAACTCAAATTTCATGCAGTTGTCCTTTGAGATTTCCCTTTTTGTAGAAAAATCATTGTATATCTGAATTAAGCTAAATAAAAAACAGATATATCAGTATTGTTGATTAACGAGATATGTAAATACTTAATTTACATGGAATAATTTTTTATTTTTCTAATAAACAATAATAATGCGTAAGATTATTATTGGGGAATCAGAGAAACATCATATTTCTTTCATTAATTACAAATATCATTACAGGCGCAGACAGATGTAACAAGAAATTTACAAACCAAGCCTACTCAAAAAAAAAAAAAAAAAAAAAAAAGATTTAGACAAAAATGTGGGAGCAGTTGGGTTTGCTCAATAACCTCCAACATCTCTTCCTTTGTAGTTGTGAGCGGCGAGAGTCTCTTATCTCTCCATTTTAATTCCTCTCATCAGGGTGGAATGGGCGTATGAATGCAGAATTCATCTGCCAAACCTTGACTGATGCAGTCACAGTGGCCCCTGTTGCATTATTGAACAAGAACAATCTAGCAGCTCCATAGATTGCCCTTGTTGGATAAACGCGGGATGTCACACATGTCCTTCCACCTTGAGCAAAACTTTCAACTACAGAATGGTCCACCTAAATTATATTAACCAGACATTCCATGAAAAAATAAAGTTGATTAGTTGGTCTTGTTCATGTGCATAAGATAAGATATATTAAGAAAGAAAACCATAGAGAGATATATTACAAGGATTAACTTACCAATATCCTTACAGACAGCTTTTCATCTTTGAGTACTGGAACCAAGCCTCCAAAGATTTTCTTTATAACATCAGTTGCCAGAGAAGACCTACGGAATAGATATAACGAATTCAACATTGTATTTTTTCTCAAACTTAATACAAAATTATTTTCTATCTCTAATTTAGTACCAAACAGAAACAACACTAGTTCAAGTACAAAACAAAAAATAGTGTAATAATACCTTGATTGGTCAGAGCAGAAGGAAGTCTTAAGATTTCCATCACTTCCTTTAACCACATAGAAGTAGACAGGAGTATATTCAGAAAGGCCATCATCTGCCAGAACCAGAAGACCAAAAGGTCCTAAGGCACCGCGTTGAGCTGCTCCACCGCTGGTGTCACACTTGTACTCCACGTTGGACTGAGCTGTCTTATCCAAGGCTTCCTTATCTATCTCAAACTCAGCTACAATGTCCAACTGTTACATTGGCAGGTTCAATTTCATGTCATTTAGTTAGCTTGCCTTTATTTGGTGGTCTCCTAATTACTTACAACTTTAAAAAAAAATTAACAAAATGAACACAAACCTGTGTGGCTGTTCCGATATCTAGTAGCTTCCCCGACCCTGGCTTCACCTTCACATTTTTAAATTCGTCCCTTTTCAATCTCAAACTATCTGTCTCCATAACAGGCCACTGAAGTAAGTTGGTACCAGTTTTGTTATCAAGTCTCACTGTCCTTGGGATACCCTGTACAATTAAAACCAGTGTTTTTAGGTAGCTAATAAAAAAGACACAATATTGTAAACAAGAAAAAGGGTAATATACCTGAAGTGATGCCCAACCTTTGGCCACATCAGCATATTCACTGTCAAACTCTCCAATCCAACCCCACAACACTCTCCTCCCCATACCCGGATCATAAAATGTCTTGGATGCATAAAATACACCATAGTCATACTTCAACCCAATACCAACATCGTTCTTGGAATCATCTGGTATGAACTTAACATTCTTTTCATCATAAGTCCCCAGAGCGTAGTAATCATATCTATCTTCATCCAGGCTAACCTTCATCACATGCTTCACATCAGCACCATTAATGGAAGTATCCAAGCCATGTTGAGCCTTGCTGGACACAGGGTAGAAGTCCACACACTCCCACATGCCAGTGCCAGGCACAGCACGAAGCATTCCCTCTACACGCTCGTAGGTCTTGAAGTCCTCGGTGTCATAAATCAAGGCAATGCCAGTTTGGTTAATCTTAGATCCAATGGAGATGCGCCACTTACCTTGAGAGGTGAGCCAAGCAGTGGTGGGGTCACGGAAATCACTGGGATCAATGGCTGGTGGTGGGAAAAGGACAGGGTTTCCAGGGTATTTGATCCAATCTATAAGGAGTGGATCAGATGGGTCAGCAGGATAGGCAAGGTTCTGGACCTGCATTGACTCGTTGGTTGAACCAGTGTATAACATGATTACTTGACCATCGGGTAAGATGGTGGCAGAGCCAGTCCACACACCGTTTTGATCATACCATTTGTCGTTCACCATCGCCATTGGAAGATGAAGCCAGTGAGTCAAGTCCCTTGACACAGCGTGTCCCCAAACTATGTCACCCCAAACTGCACCATTCGGATTGTACTGGTAGAAGAAGTGATACCATCCCTTGTAGTACATTGGCCCTGAAATACACAAATTCCACCAACCATGTCAACAAGGTGCTCGAGTATTCTAAATGAAATCAATCTGACAGAGGACCCAATTGAAATTGGGGTAGTTCTTCCAATATTGTTGGAAAAGCTTTGTGCTTTATTCAATACTTCTCTAGAATTTGATTGCACTTAAACTTAAAAGACAAAATCATTATGGGTCTTTTCCAAATCCACTCAAGAATGAGACGAGTTTTGCAAAGACGAACTGCTGTTGAGACTATCTACAGTTTTATAAGATCCTAATTCCTTATTTTCTCATGATTTTTTTTTAAGTAATTTTCATATCATTTCAACCCTGTACAAAAATACATAGATTTCTGCATAAAGGATCCAGAGCATTAGACCAAATCTTGCATAAAAGATATTTGTAATAACGTTAGGAATATTTGACCAGGTCAATAGTAGGCGGCAAAAAAAAAAAAGTAAAACCGGGGCAAATTATTAGGAAACAAACTAAAAATTAAAGGGAGTTATCTAAAAACAAAGAGAAAAAGAGAGGGTGCTCTTACCATTAGGATCTGAAGCGGAGCAAACCAGATTCCCCCGTCAGAATAAACCAGAGTCAACCAACAAAAAAGAAAAAGTTAGCGTCATAAACATTTAACATTAATCACATATTTTATTTTATTTTTCAATAGAAAAGTATTATTTCGACAAGACTAACTAGACTCTCCCATGGATAGATTGGGGCTATAAAATTAATAAATCATCATCAACATTAATAATTATAACATAACAGTGGTAAGAAATTATAAGGAAAAAGGGATTATAAGTATAATCTGCCTAATTTTGAATAACACATAATTTTTTAAGAAAAATCACTATTTTTAATTGTTATATATGTTATTTGTTATCAATTTATCATTATAATATTGTGAGAATTGCATAAAGCTATTATCAAGTGTAAGAATTAAACTAATAATGACTATTTTATATAGGGAAAAATATAATACTATTACTTTTTATTAAAAAAATCATTTTTGATTTGGTCAAAATTGATGGTATTATAAAAATAATACAAAGTAAGGACAAAATTGATGGAGACTAAATGAAAAAAAAAATTCATACAACAATTATAAATGAGCTTAACCTATTTACCAAAAAATAAAATAAAAAATATGAGCTTAACCTTTAGGGATTAAAAAACAATTATTTTAATTAACGTCTCTTTTTTTATCGCTTTTCATTCTTTTCCTTTTTGGTTACAATTTTTTTTTCTATCCAGGCATAATGGTTAGAATAGAAACGCATATCCAATTTAATGTGAGAATGAGATCAAATCATTAAAATAGAATCTCCAAGGTTAATCTCTATTGAAATCCGTTATTCCTCGGAAATATTTCCAGAAAATAACGTGAGGGTATAATCTTATTTTAGAGTAACCGCGTTCATAGGATGAAAATGACAAGAATAAAATGAACAACCGTTCACAGCGGAGCAAAATTAGCAAAAGACTAAAAATGAATTACGTACCGTTCATCCAATTCTTCTCTGGCTGGAAATGGTAAGCTGTTCTCTGCCATGATAGCATAGTGTTATTCCAAGGAAACGACGCCGCATTGCTGCTTTTGAATAACCTAAAATTGGACTTCTCTGAGACACCTGCATCCACACCACGTGAAACAGGTTGCCATATTGGCCAAGGTACTGTTTTGCACGTCGCTTCTTCATTGGATGTTAACGTTGACAATAACAAATCTCCATCTTGTCCATTTGATGTCCTGTTGTGCCCATTAAAGGCTACAAACGAAACAAGTATTAGCAACCCGCTAAATATCACAATCAACTCCCTCAAGTGTCTGCGAGGCTCCGCCGGAGCTCCGGCGTTGTTGGGTCCATTGGGAATAGGAACATAAGAACGAGGGAGATCAGGATCAGAGGAGGAGGCATTAATTGTGCCGTCGCTTCTTCCCATGGCTGAGACTCAAACAAGGGAAATGGGCTTTTTTTAAGAATGTGCAACAATTATTCAGAGGCAATGGAAATATTGCTCGTGATGATAGGATGAAAAGTTTAACACTTTTTGGTTGGGTTTTTCTTACAAAGAGAGTAGGCAGAGTAATGTGTTTCGCTGCTAAGGAATTAAGAAAAAGAAAAGTAAAAGAAAGAAAGAAAGAAGAAAGAGAGAGGAGTGGATCGTGCACAAACTATATTTGACACATTAGTATATTTATAGGGTCTCTCTTGCAAGGACAGACAGACACAGGAGCAATTAAATTAGAATATGAAGGGACGCAAAAAGATTTATTTTAAGGGAAATAGACGTATAACATTGTAGGAAATTGGTTGTGTCATGTTATAGACACAACTAATGTGGACCTCACCACTTTTAAAAATAAAAATAAAAAATGATGGAGTCAACATTGATTGTGTCTATAACATGACATAACCAATTTCCTACGCCATGATACATCTATTTCTCTTTATTTTAACTAATAATTGGTGGTTGGCGGCCCAACATTTTCTAACGGCAATGATTTCAGGCTTTCTTTGATTGTTTTTGTACCTGGTTGATTGGTTTTGATAATTACAAAAATTTGAAATTTTTTATTATTACTATGTAAAATTTATGTCTACATTTTTAAAAAATTTTCATAATAATCCAACAATAATAGGTGCGTATATATGTATGTTTATATTTTCTTCAAATATTTCTTTTTTCACCAAGCTATTAGATAACATAGTGGCAAGTCAATTTCAGCTTATAGTTTTCTTCGTTACTGCTAATCGAATTTGGGTTTAAATTTAGCATGGTCTTATATTTTTTTCCCTCCCTCATTTGCTTTCGGTAGTGTTTGGTAGAAGATTTATTTTGGGATTGATGAGAAAATGTAAGTGGATATTGAAAAATAGTACGTTTGGTTCATGTTTTTGAAAAAAAAATACTAGTCAAATAGAATAGATGGGGAAATGACTTTTGTGTTGATTTTTGGATGAAATTCACTATTACAGAATACCACTTGAGATGTGGTATGTTGAGATAACTGGAGAAGTGAAAAAACAGGTGCAAAGTTTTTTCCGAACATAGATTTTGCAAATTTAAATAAATTTTCTTGGTAATATTCCAGTCAACCAAACAACTTTTTTTATATTTTCCTATCAAACTCACTTTCCAACCATTTCCCTAGTAATTATATTTTCCTAATATTCAAAAAATTTCTCCTCAACGAAACGTCCCCTTCAAGTTTTTTATAATGCTCTTGACCCGATAACCACATACATTTTCCCTATAATTAAATCATATTCTGGTTATCGTTTGTGATTCAGACCATGCATAAAATATATATTGAACAAAAAGTGATTGTATTATTTCGTTTGAAATCTAAGTGATACGGTTAGGAGTGTCAATATGGGTTTTGACACGCGGATCAACCCGCGACACGACACGAAAATTCGTGTTCGGGTTGACTTGTAAAAAAATTTGTGTCGTGTTCGTGTTGGAAAAAATGACACGCAAAAAATTCGTGTCGTGTTCGTGTTTATGAATTCGTGTTCGTGTCGACCCGTATTATTTTTATTTTTTATTTTTTTATTTTTTTATTATTATTTTTTAATTTTTTATTTATTTTCGATCTATTTTTTTAAATTTTTTTGTCAATTACCGTTTTGTCTCCTATTTTGCGTGTTATTCGTGTCGTGTCGTGTCAACCCGCAAAAAATTCGTGTCGTGTCAGTGTTGAAGATTTTGACACGAATGAAAATTCGTGTCGTGTTCGTGTTGATGTATTCGTGTCGTGTCGAATTCGTGTCGTGTCAACCCATATTGACACCCCTAGATACGGTTGATTGATAAATCTAAAATTTATAAATCATGTATGTGATTATAAAATACTCAAATAACAATAGAATTAAAAGGTAAATGCACGTACTTTCTGAGAAAATGAATACACTTGATAGTTGATACTAGGATTTTCCTTTCGATCATCTATTGTTCTTGCCAGTCTTTGCTATGGGTGTACAGATGGCCACACTAAGCCAAACCTCATGCTAAATATATCAAAAAATTTAATTGATAAATAGAGTACAATTCTTTTATTTTCAATAATTATATAAGTTTTTTTCTTTTTTTTGGGTGAGCAGCTATGTAAGTTTTATACTCTATAGTTTTTTCATATTTTTTTTAAATTTAAAACAAGTAACTTTGACTATCATTTATAAATTAATAAAATGAATAACTTGTATGTAAAAAATTATAATTTAATTTTTCAGTGGTAAAGATAAAATTACAAAATTCTCATAAAAAAATTATACTTCAATTTATGATCAATTAATTTTATAAATAATTTATTAATATTTTGTATAACAATGTGCAAAATGTTGAATTAAACCTCGTGAAGTTAAGAAAATTAATCAAAGGTGGACAGTAAAGCCAATAATGTAGCATGATCATGGTAACGTGTACCAATATCCTTAAAAAGCCATGAAATGATAGTCCTGCAAACAGGGCCAAAGGAAAAACGGACTTACAAACCGTTCTCACGATCCATACGTAACCCAAATTCTCCGCACGAGTAAAACACATAATAGCCATTAAAGAATATAGAAAGGTTCATCAATGAATGTAGGAACCCTGAAGTCATGTTTTGATTTGGTAATGGCTCAGTGGAGAAATGAGAGAACGCCACGGCGGCAATTGATGACTCTAGATTATAGAAGCTTAAAATGCTGACAAATCCACGTATTAGTGCATTTAAATCAGGTGTATTATTTCAGATGTTATAAGATTGTGATACTTAATATTAATTAATTATGATAGTTATTTATTTAATGATATGATTGGATGTATTTAATTTGAGCGCCCTAGATTTAATTAAGTATTTCTCGTACTCATGCTTAAATAGCCTTTATTAGTAATAATCGTCATCATTTTGAATACAATAATTGCCATTATTTCTAGATAAACGATCATAACAATGTTCAATTATACTTATTTTATCTATATATGATTTCAAATCAAACTCCAACTCCAACATCCATCCCCAACAACCTCGGCAATGAGTTTTCTCCTTATGATTGTTTTTGACATATGTATGACTGGCCTTGCTGAGTCAGATTGTCTTGTTCTTTCAACTGCATACAATAATGCATTTGTCATGACAGATTGCGGTGGCATGTCTATTTACCGAATATTGTTTATGTTGGTTTTGCACCGCGTGTAAAGGATACACCAATACAGAGGTGTTTTGGTGCATGAGTTTCTCTTTTCTTTTGCCAGTTGTGAGGCTGGTATTGTTTCGGTCCCACCTCTCCTCACAATAATGTGTGATTATTGACTATGAAACAAATACTAATCAAATTAACATAAGTTACATATTATACATGAACGGGGTCTTTAAGCGTTGCTTTTATTGTTCTGCGGTATGATTCAAGCCTGGACTATTTTAGCATATTTCAATTGCATCGCCTTGTGGTGTTGCAGACTCCACATGCCTCTTGCTTCCGCCAGTAGCATATAAATGAGTCGGCTGATTAGCAGATATTTTAATATATGATGTGATTGTATATCCTCATAGAATAATATTCGATACAATGAATTTGTTGGTCCTCCAACGTCTTCCTTCGCTACCGAGCAAAGCTAATCACAGAAATTTTATGTACATTTAACTTCAAAGACATTATCCATTTATTTAAATTCTTTTCTATATGAGATTATGAGTTGAACGAAGTTTGAATGTGTTTGGTAGTGGCTAGGGGGAGCTCAATTAGAGGAGAATAACTTCCATACATCAAATGGATCTAAGTGACAAATCCACAACAAAACACCTCACATCACATCTCAACTCAAAATTTTAAGGCTTTGTTTGGGAGTTGGTTTTAGGAGGGGAAAGAAAGGAAATTGAACCTTGTTTGGGAGTTTAAAAAAAAGAGGGAAAGGAATTGGGAATTTTTACTAAACTCTCCAAACTCCTCCTTCTTCTTAAAATTAGAGTTCCCCCAATTTGGGAGGTTTGAGGGGGAAAATATTAAAAATTAATTATCTACCCTTATCATTAAAATGTGAAAACTACATAAACGTGAATCATTTTTAAATGTAAAATTATTAGAAAAGTCTCAAATACTGTCAGAATTTAAATACGAAAAATATTTCGTCAAAAAATAGTGATGAATTTTTTTATGAAAATCATATATGGCAAAAAATTTCCATCAAAACTAAAGAGGAAATTAGAGAAGGAACCAGATTTTGCCATAATCACTGACAAATTTTTTACGGAAAAAAAATTCATTCAAAATTATTAATAGAATCTAAATTCCGTCAAAACTTTCAACGAAAATATTTACGTCCAAAATTTTGACAAAACACATTTCCATCGAAAATTTTCGACGTAAAACAAGTACGTCAAAAATTTTTACGGCAAACATTTTCATCCAAAAATTTCACAAAAATTTTCGACGAAAAATATTTTCATCAAAATTTTGTGACTAAAAACATTTCTATAAAAAAATTTGACTGATAATTATTTTTGTCACAATTCTTTACGGAATCTAAATTTCGTCAAAATATCTCACAAAAAAACATATTTATCAAAAATTTTGACGAAAAATATTTCCATCAAAATTTTCAACGAAGCACATTTCCATCAAAAATCTTTGACGGAAAAAAACTGCATCAAAATTCGTTAGAGAATTTAAATTTCGTCAAAAGTTTTCGAAGGAAACATTTTTGTTAAACTTTTTGACGAAAAATATCTCCGTCGAAAATTTTGACAAAACACATTTCCATCGAAAATTTTCGACGTAAAACAAGTACGTCAAATTTTTTTACGGCAAACATTTTCATCCAAAAATTTCACAAAAATTTTCGACGAAAAATATTTTCATCAAAATTTTGTGACTAAAAACATTTCTATAAAAAAATTTGACTGATAATTATTTTTGTCACAATTCTTTACGGAATCTAAATTTCGTCAAAATATCTCACAAAAAAACATATTTACCAAAAAATTTGACGAAAAATATTTCCATCAAAATTTTCAACGAAGCACATTTCCATCAAAAATCTTTGACGGAAAAAAACTGCATCAAAATTCGTTAGAGAATTTAAATTTCGTCAAAAGTTTTCGAAGGAAACATTTTCGTTAAACTTTTTGACGAAAAATATCTCCGTCGAAAATTTTAACGAAACATATTTCGA